CTATGCATAAAAAGTGTGGTCTATGAAGGCAAGAATTATTGTGCATTTTGTCAATTACCCCAAGGACCTAGAACAGTTCTTCTCACATAGTAGGGTTTTAGTACACGCTTATCAAATGAATTAAATGTAGACATACAATTCATTAGCTGCATTGTTATGTAGGAATCCTATCTCTTTACTGCTAATTTCTTAGAACCTAACTGAAGAATGTTTAAATACCCTTTTTAGTAATTGTTGGTTTTTAATTACTTTTACCAGGTGACAAAGGTGATACCTGCTTCAACTGTATTGGAACTGGTATTTCGGGGTATCCAGGCCAACCTGGTTTGCCAGGTCTCCCTGGTCCTCCAGGTAAAACATTCTGCCTAAGGGTAGTTATTAAAAATATTTCTTGGTTAGATTATTGTAAGTTTATGGTTTTAAAATTCCAACAGCTTCTCATTTTATAGCTAATCACTCATATGTATAAATAATGAAATATGAAATACTTGTTTGTTATGAAATAAATGATGCCCTGTTTTCTAGTACTTGAAACTCTGAATGTGTTCTATTAAAAGCATTGTGACAATGTTCTAAGAACTCTATCTTCCCTATTTTCCATGTGCATGGCAAAATAACATACATAGTTAGTCTTTCAGAGCACTGGGGGGTGGAGGTGATTAAAGTTCCTAGGGCCTGGCCCCTGAGCATAGTTTGCAATATCACAGCTTCTAGTCACTGGGCATATATCATGTTCCATTACAGAAAGGGTTTTCTACTATAGATTGCCAAATTATTGCTATTTTTCTCTATATATACCACCCTTCTCATTCCCTAATCAAAATCCTATTGACTCTGTATACAACTCCTTTATTGAATGGTCTCTTGGTACATCTCCAAATCATTATGCATATTATTCCTGAGAGTCTGAGTCAAGGCTGAGAACCGACACAGATCTTCCAGCTATCTAGTGTGTCCACCAAGAATACAAATTAACAGGGAGCTTGGAAACACTTCCAGTAAGTCTTAAAGCTGGCATTGGAAGTTAGGAATCTACCTATTTATGTCTATTCTAGTGGTTTTCAAACTAGGAACCACATCAGAATCATCTTAAGGACTTACTAAAGCCAAGGTTGCTGGACCCACCCACAAAGTTTCAGATCCAATAGAATAGGATTGGGCAATTTTTATCCCAAGCGTTAGCATTTCTTTTTTTTTTTTTTAATTTTTTCTTATGTATTTAGTACAGGGTCTACAGGGTCTTACTACACAGATCAGGCTCATAATGATCTTCCTGCTTTCAGCCTCCCTCGTTCTGGGATTACAGGCACATGCCGCCAAGAGTTAGCATTTCTAAGTAATAATCAAGTGTTCATGATACATCTGGTCCAAGGATTCGTTTTGGCAACCACTGCTTTTTAAAACATTTATTTATTTATTTATTCATTTATTTATTTGGTACAGGATCTCTCTATTCAGCTATTACTTTTAGTGATCCTTCTGTCCCAGCCTCTGCAGCCCTGGGATTACAGGCATGTGCCACCACACCCAGTTTCAGTGGCTGGCACAATATGCACAGGGTTCTGGGGCCGGCATGCAGTACTAAATGTCAAATCCAGGTCCTTGAGCTTCCAAGCAGGTGCTTAGACCACTGAGCTATCCCCCGCAACCTAAATTTATGTTCATTTTTGTAACTTTTTTGATAGGGGGTCATGTTATATGGTTCAGCTTCACCAATGCTGAGATTACAGCTGTGTGCCACTAAACCCAGTTTCTAGGCCAGCGTAGCACACTGACAAACACTGCTTTAGTAATGTTTCCTTCAAAAATTTTGAAAACCAAAAGTTGCTCATAAGACGCATTGCAGGGAATTCCCACCAAAAGGAGGACTAATAAGCATGTAGGAAAAATGTATAACTCAGGACAAAAGTGTGCAGACTTCTTTCTTACCTTCCTCTATCCTGGGTAGTGGAATGATTATAGGAATTGAAGCACCACTTCCAGCTCTGAGAAAGGAAAGATAATTGGGAAATTTAAAATACAATAGGTACAATACTGTACAATATAACATGAACTGTTCATTTTTAAAAGTATAATTTCCTCATTTTAAGAACACAAAACATGGCTCAGTGGAATAAGCGCTTCCCTGGCAAGCGCAAGGGCCTGAGTTCAATCCTTGGTTCTGAAAAAAATAAAATAAAAACAAAAAAGTACACAAAACAGGAAAATAAAAATGCTACATGGTATAGAATGAGGGTATTTTATTTTAAAATTTGATTTGATGATTTTCTTAAAAGTTTTATCAGAGGTTAAAGTTTAAAGCTCACATATTTTGTGTGTGTGTGTGTGTGTGTGTGTGTGTGTGTGTGTGTGTGTGTGTTTATGCTAGGATCTCTTGGTTTCCCTGGACAGAAGGGTGAAAAAGGACAGACTGGAGAAACTGGCACAAAAGGATTACCAGTAAGTTTTGAGTACATATTATAAATCTGAAGAGTGGTAGGAAGCCATATACACTTTAATGTCCACTTATGGAGATATGTAAAATAGATATGGATATATATATATATATATATATATATATATATATATATATATATATAATGTTAAACTGTAATTTAACTTGTAATTCATTTGACTCATTGACTCCCTGACTCACATGCATCCTTCATGTGATTCATTCATTACTTTATGCACTGAAGTTACTGGGTAGGTTGGTGGATAAACTGGAGAAAAGTGTTAGAAAATGTTCCAATTTGCTTATTCCTTTTTTTTCTTTTCTCTCCCACTTAGGGCATACCAGGAGCTCCAGGTGCTCCAGGACTTCCTGGATCAAAAGGGGAACCTGGTGACATCTTCACTTTCCCAGGAATGAAGGGTGAAAAAGGAGAGTTGGGTGCTCCTGGAGCTCCAGGGCTTCCTGGTTTACCCGGCACTCCTGGACAGGATGGATTACCTGGCCTTCCTGGGCCCAAAGGAGAGCCTGTGAGTCAATTTGATGTTCTTGGTATTGCAATGTCATGTTGTCATGTAGAAATGTTTCCTAGGCTTTGGGGATTTTCCTTAGTTAGGATGCATGCTGAGCATACATGAGGTTCTGTGTTCAATCTTCCATTCTGACAAGAAAAAGTTTTCTAATTTAAAACTAAAGATGGGCCTGGTGCTAAGATTAGTACCCAATTAATGCTTAACAGAATATAATAAAAGTACATTGTTGCTATGTGGAATTTCTACACTTTTAGTTGACTTTTGAAATTCTTAAGCCAGTCATAAATATGTGCACGTACAATCTCAATGCTTGGAAGGCTGAGACAGGAAGACAGTATGTTTAAGATCAGCCTGAGCTATATAGCAAGTTCAGTACATAATGAGAATATTTCAAAAAACTTAAAATAACTAAATGAACTTCCTAAAGCATTGCTATACTATATTGAATAATACTGGCTCTGAATATCTGGGCAGAAGTTTAAGTTGCTTAAGAATCTGTGTAAGAGTCACCCTTTTTATTCTGTATATCTTTTTGTTTATTTAGACCTGACAAACAGAAATTTAACTTGATTTTTATATATAGTAGGTTTATAAAATAGATTGAATAGATGTCCATATTAAATGTACCCCAGAGCCACCAATTGAACATTAATAAACAGTCTGTTTTTGTACAAGACATATCTCAAGATATTTAGGTGAGAAATATGTTTTATGTTATTTAGACCATAGCTTTATTGACCTATAGTAGGCTTTAAGACTCATGAGAAGAAAGATTTGTGTCTGCTTGTATTCTCTGCTACATCATTGCACTTGGCACATAAGAGGAGCTCAGAAATACTTGTTAAAGGAATGAATGACTATATGAAATGATCACACATTTCAAACCATAATAACAACACTTCAAACTTAGATAACTTTTTAAAAGAATTAGCACATTTTTGTACTACATATTTGTTATCTTCATCATGCGGAGCATGTACATGTATAAACACATCTTAATTTTTTTACTACCCCATTCCTCCATACCCTCCCCATCCATCTCTAGATTCCTTTCCCATTTGTAAAAGATCTACCTTCCTGATTCCTACTACCCATCTTTTACTCATCATTTATTTTTCTCTTTAAATTATTTATGCTAGGGGCCGGGGAGATGGTTCAGGAGGATAAGCGCTTCCCTGGCAAGTGCAAGGGCCT